AACCCAGCACAGGGCCCACGAGGAATGAAGAGAACCCAGCCAAGGGGCCGTGAGAGACGAGGGAACACCCAGCACAGGAGGGATGGAGAGGACAGAACCCAGCATAGGGGCCGTGAGGGATAAAGAGAACCCAGCCAAGGGGCCGTGAGGGACGAGGGAGAATTGTCTTGGGGGAAATGTGAGGGTCAGGATGAGGAGAACCCAGCCCCAGGTCATGAGGGACAGGAGGGGACGGAACCCAGTATGAGGAACAGAGGGAGGAAGGGAGGGGAACCCTGCGCAGAGAGAAGGTGGGACACGTGTCGTGTTCTCTGTACTGGAGATTTCTCGGGAGTGACGGGCGCCCCCCCACCCAGGGCACACGTTGGGTGTCAGGGAGGGCACCGTGGAGGCTGCACTCACGCACTCAAGTGGACAGTCTAAGGTGCAGCTTAGACTCAGTGTCTGGGGGACAGCACCCCAAGTGTGCAGCAAGGGGCCCCTGCCTGCAGCCCCCTGGTGACAGGTCTCCTCCCTTGTAGAAGAAGAAGATGGAGAACGAGTCGGCCGTGGAGGGGGAAGACTCCGCCATGACAGACATGCCCCAGGTCGAGGAGGTGACGGACATTGTGGAGATGCGGGAGGAGAAGGAGTAGGCCGGACACCCGTCCACCGCGGGGACAGCAGGACACACGCACGCCGGTCCTCCCCACCAATTCACTCCCTCCCTTGTTTTTTTTTTTTGGTTTGGTTTTTGGTTTGGTTTTTTTGTTTTGGACACGAAAGAGGCCTTGAGAAGGGTCTCCTGTCGATCCTCTGGCATACCGGGTATGCTCCTGCCGTGGAACCCCAGGCTGGTCTTTACCGTCGTTTTGTAGAAACCACCAAGCAGACAACTGGCTTAATCCCCCGGCTTCACGCAAACCCAGGAGCCTCAGCTCTTTCTCCACTGGACAATCTCCACAAGGAACCAAAGGTCCGTGACTGCGCCACCACGGGGCCACGCTGCCCGCGGGCCGCCTGCACTCCTCCCCCATTTCCCGCCGTCTGCAGCCTGCTCACCGGGAATGTGGCCCTCCCTGGGTAGCTCGTGTGGTTAAGTGCTGGACTACTTGCCGAAAGGTCGGCAGTTCAAACCCACCCAGAGATGCCTCAGAAGAAAGGCCTGGCAGCCCACTTCACATGGGTCAGAGCCTCGGAAAGCCCACGGATAAGTTCTCCTGTGCACACATGGGCCCCCAGGTCAGAGCAACTTGACAGCGGTCAAGAACAGCACGTGGCTGTGCAGGCGAGAGCCTCCTGCCTGGCCTGCACCCCTTCACCCACAGAGCTGGCCTCTCCCCACTGCCCAGCACAGGGTAGCAACCAGGAGCCTTCCCCCTCATCTTGGGGACACACACACACACACCACATACGGGAAGGTCTGAGGCTTCACCAGGAAGCAGCCGCTAACGGGCCTCACAGCAGCACTCCCTCCCTGGACTGGCGGGAGACACAGAAACCCTGGATGTCACAGGCTGGGCCCCCAGGAGGCAACCCACCATGCCTCTCCCCAAAGGCTGGCTTTCCACCCCCCCACACCCCCACCCCCGAAGACCGCTCGTTCTAACTCAACGTTGTAGTTTCTGAGTGAACCAAAGCTTTAAGTCATAATCTAGCATTCTAATGCCAGGCTGCCACGTAACTCTCCGAGCAGATCCTCCCGGGCCCCCCACCGTCCTCAGTCCTGGCCCTGCGGACAGGCCTTTGGCCCCTGGCCTCCCTTTCACGCCACACGACTGAAGCAAGACATTTTCTAGGTGGTCTCAGTCACTGTGTGACCCCCTCCACCCCCGAAAACCAAGCATTTGAAACCATCTAGTGCAGTCTATTTTTCTAAGTTTTGGAAAGCGGGTTTGTTGATCTTTCTCTTTCCTTTCAAAATAATGGACACAGTTTACCAAATTCTTGATTGAGTCAAAATTCCTTAGACTGAAAGAAGCTAAGCAAGCAAACAAGAAAAAAAAATATTTTCAAGATATAAATATATACTGTATATGTTCTGTAATTTATTTTAGGCGATAATACATTTCCTATTTTCACATTTTCAATAAAATGTCTCTAATAACAAGACCATGGTCTCCCCGTGTGCTCAGCCGGCCCGTAGAGTGGATGGACCCCACCCGTGAGCACTGTCCCTGACTGAAGCCGTGTCCACACCGGTCAGCTGTCTGTGATGTAAGGGGGGGGGTTCCAAGAGAATCGTTTTCTATTCTGGTTACACGTCTCCCCCTGAGGAGAATTGACTCGACAGCTGATGGTTCCGTGTGGGTCTGGGGCAATAAATTGGGCAGATGGTAACAGAAGACAGAACAGACTATAAGCTACAAGGGCAGAGATAAAGAGCCAGCCGTTTGTGTTCCTTCTTCTCAGCGCTATGTCATCATCTTCCTCCTCTGAAAAACTGGATGTCAAGGCACCAGCACACCAAGCTCGAGTCCCCCTGGGCACCGGTGGCCCGTGGGTGTGCTGCCCCGGGGTCCACCTTTCTGTGACCTGCTCCGAGCAGTTTCTCTTCCAAATCCATGAGTGCTGGAAATTAGGATGCATCATTTGGGGTGGAATCGGTGGAAAGAAAAAAAAATCAACATCTAATTGTATTGACTTTTTAAAAGTTCATGAGTAGAAAATTAAACAGCAGTATTTTCTAACACGTGTGACTATTTCGTGCTTATGGGGTGGGGCGCTTATGAGCACGTTGAGAAAGAAATTCCTTGCCCTAGGTGACCTGGAGGCCCTTCTCTAGAAGTCGTCCAGAGACAGCGGGGTGGGAAGGTGTCAGTCTGGACACAGGAGGCCTCTGAGGACACAGGAGGCGGTGCTGCGACCACCCCGGGCTTGTTCAGAGCCTGTCCCTGGAAGCACATTGTCATGGTTTGTCTGTGCTGGGACCACTTCACCCACCACCCAGCTGACTCCTTCAGTCCTGACACTGGCATCCCAGATGCACCAAGTCCAGCTAGAATCCAGGGCTGCAGGAAAGCCCCTCACCAGGGCCTAGACACTGCTCCACTTTTTAAATAGGTCACTCACTCAGAACCAATTCACAGTTGACCCTCCAGCAGGTTTTCAGGATCCGTAAGTCACACAGGAGGAGACTGCCAATCCTTCTGGAAGCTTCTGGTAAATTTGAACTACCAGAGAGACAGCACCTTTGATTAGCAGCACGCCTCCCTCCAGACTTCACCAACCAGGGCTCCCTTCAAACCATGCCAGCTGGAATTGAACGCGGGAAGGGGCTAACGGTGATTTCAGTGACGCTGAGAAAGGAGGTGGCCCCGGCTTCCTCAAGTGGGGTGCCATCTGCTAGCAGGTCATTGTAGATGTCCAGCTGCTGTTTGTTCTGCCCCTCCTCCGAGTAACGAGTTGGCTGTCACCCCAAGGGCTCTGCATGTCCATCACTGCCATAGGAGAAAGATTGGTGATCTCCTCCTGTTAAGATTTACAGCCCCTAAAACCAGGGCTTTGGTCACCTCGTGGGTAAGGAACTGCTCCACCAACCCAAAGACTCGAGGTTCAAATCTGCCAGTGGCTCTGAGGGAGAAAGGCAGGCAGCCTTCTCCTGTGTGATTTACAGCCTCTGAAAACCCACCGATGGATCAGCTATGAGTTGGTTCCAATTTGACAGTGAGACAGACAAAACCAACGGTCACTGTGAGTCAGAGGGACTCAATGTCAGTGAGCGAGTGAGGGACACTGGGTGGAATCCATGTGCTTCCCCAGGTCTGGCCAAAACAAGGCAGGAAAGCTGTGGCCCAAGAAGCTCACAAGAGGGTGGACATCAGTCATGGGTTCCAGGGAGTTGGGTGGGATTTGCACATGGGCAGGAACACTGTCTGCCATGGAGTCTGCACTGGGGATGAGTGTGGAGGGCCACATGCTGGTTCAAAACCAGCCCCTCCCAAACCCCATACTAGAGTCATGTCAGTGTCCCCACAGAGCTGCCCCTCCAACATGGAACTGTGTCAGGACCCTGGTGGCTCCGAGTCTCAGAAGGGGGCAGAGTGAGTGCCATCACTTGGTCCCCTGCTCCCAGAATTTTCAGGATGACCTCAGAGAAGCAGTGGATGGTGGTGACAATGAGAGAGGGTCAGGGGTCCCCCAGCTCCAGTCAGGGGTCTCCACATTCAACCTCTTCCAGATCAGTTAGCAAATCACTAACCGATAAAACTGTTGGGATCCGGCCAATGCCCGGGGTGGCACCCCGGCGTGAGCAGAGTGGGTAGCCTCCAGGCTGCCACGGTGGTGACCTTTCAGAAGCCAAGTCTCCTGAGCTCCTGCTGCTGGGTGGGTCCCATCTGCCAGCCTGTCAGTAGTGGCCAGTACTTAGCCAAGTGCTTCACCTGGGAGCACGAGCCAGACTCTCCTATTCCCAGAAAAGTCAGTGTAGCTCTTGAGGAAGAGGGTGGGTGCACTTCCTCCAAAAGAGATGCATTTATTCATTTGTCAATCATGGGATGTTCGATATCCTCCAAGACCACAGTTCAAGGACATTAATTCTTGTTTGGATTCATTGTCCAACTTTCAGATGTCTAGGAAGCAAACAAAAATACCATAGCTTAATAAAAATTTTTTGTAAAGACAATATCATGGCTTGGATCAGGTGCACCTTAGTTTTTAAACTGACATCGTGCCTGTTAGCACTTTGGAGAAGTCCTGGACAGCAGGTTTCTCCAAGGTAAGACACCTTTTGATTTCCTGACCCCTGGGGGTTGATTATGGATCCAAATAAAAGAAAATCATTGACAATATCCATCTCTTCCCCATCTCTCATGATGCTGCCTATTGGTCAGTGGTGAGGACTTTTGTTTTCTTGATGTTGACATACAACTTTCTTGGAAGAAGTTCAACCAGAGTATACCATAGAGGCAACGATTGTCAAACTTTGTCTCTCTTAGGCCATATTGTCAGAAGGGGCCAGTCCTTGGGAAAAGATACTGTAAGAAATAAACTTTACGGGGAGAGG